GTGGTAATCTCTATACTTAAGGGTTCTGATATTTTGAAAGTTAAGAGGGGTTTTCCAATAATTATTCACAGCTAAGTGTGGTTTCCTGATATTTAACAAATGCAAAGATTCAGTCTTTTGATGAGATTCATTGTTACAGATGAGGATGTTAGTCAGGGTGTGGATGTTCCGTGACCGAGTATAAAATAAAAGGGGTTAAAATAGGTGTGATATGAGGGCTCTGGAGACTGGACCATTTCAATATGTTAAGTAACAATTCCAGTCCTTTTTCGTCGTGATGGTTCGAGAAAAAAAAGTATTTCTCCTATCAAAAAGGTTTAATATTTTTATGGATAATAATCAGAATGGATTAGCCAAAGAGATTTGCTTGCTTGAACCGTGTTAGGTAAGTAATTACAAGCTATTATGATTTTGTGAGAATAAAAAATATGAACAAAAACATTATGGAAGGTTAAACTCAAACAATGTTGGGTAACTATTAACATAAATTTCACTAACGTGTTGGGTAAATATTACCGTAAATTTTACTGCCCTTAAATTAGAGGATTTTCGATAATATCTCGAAGTTAAAGTGCGTTTAATCTCTATATTTAAGGGAAGGAGGGTTCTGATGTTTTGAAAGTTAACGGGGTTCTCCGATAATATTGTTCAAAGTTAAGTGCTTTTTCCTGATATTTAACAAATCGGAAGATTTAATTTTTTGATAAGACCAATTTTTAGAGACGAGGACAGGTGCATGTTCCTGTTAGATCTACATCATAAACTTGAGATCTAAAACCATATAGCCATGATTAATTCAAAGAGATTAACAAGGATCTAAAAGAGCGGAAGCTTATACCTGAATCCATTGCTTGATCTTGATTTTGGGTTTTGGATCTTCTAACCTTAGGGTTTTCTGCTTAGCCGAATTTCTCTCTTAGATGGGGGTGAAGAGAATTAGAGAATGTAACCCTAGGTTAGGGACCATAACCCCTTATTTATAGATGTTGTACTTTTGTAATTTAGCCCCTCAATAAATTACAATTACAACCTGGTATCTGCACATATAACCCCATGACTTATTTAAATACCAAATTAACCCAACTTAATTGATCACTTTAGTGGGTTATCCTGAAAGATAGCAATACACATTGATTAATCATATGTGCCCACAAATAGATTTATTAGATTAAATCCAACAATCTCCCACTTGGGCACCATATGATTCCTTAAATTGTGTATAACCTTATGAGCTCAAAAAATTGCTATCACTGAAAAGGTATTTCCGAACAATCTCGTCCATTGACTATATCAATATAGGATCAAAGCGGCCTTCGTCACATTTATCGTGACTCGACCCATCAATGGTCACATATACCAATACAATCAAACGACATAGATCAATCATGGATGTGCAGCATGAAAATTACATGCAATGTGATCAGTACATGTCTATTTTCAACTGGTCCTCCTTAGTGAGGTCAAAACCAAACATAATGTAACAGAGTGTCTTAACTGAAAACTTTATTCTGATCAGACAATACAAACAAACATAAAGCACCACAAATACAAACTCCCACTAAAACATAATATCCTCAAATAATACCACACCCATATGAGCAGTATGCTCATGAAAGACCTTAGGTGGCAATCCCTTAGTAAGAGGATCAGCTATCATGGAGTTTGTCCCAATGTGCTCTATGGATATCTGTCCACTCTGTACCCTTTCTTTCACAACCAGGAACTTAATGTCAATATGTTTTGACTTAGTTGAGCTCCTGTTGTTATTGGAATACATTACTGCAGATTTATTGTCACAATATAACCTTAGTGGTCTTTCAACATTTTCCAAAATGCGCAGTCCCGTGACAAAATTTCGCAGCCATATTCCCTGATTGGATGCCTCATAGCAAGCTACAAATTCTGCTGCCATAGTGGAGGAAGCTACTAGTGTTTGTTTGACACTTTTCCATGATATAGCTCCTCCTGCTAACATATAAATGTAGCCTGATGTAGACTTCCTGCTATCTTGGCATCCAGCAAAATCAGAGTCCGAATACCCAATGACCTCTAATTTCTCTGATTTTCTGTATGTGAGCATGTAATCTTTTGTTTTCTGAAGATACCTCATAACCCTTTTGACTGCTATCCAATGATCCATACCAGGGTTGCTTAAGTATCTGCCTAACATCCCAACAATGTACGCAATATCCGGACGCGTACATACCTGAGCATACATTAGACTTCCTACAGCCGAAGCATAAGGAATCTTCTGCATTTCCTGAATTTCAAGGTTACCTTTAGGGCACTGATTGAGACTAAACTTGTCTCCTTTAGCAACAGGGGTGTCACCTGGTCTGCAATCTTGCATGCCAAACCTTTTAAGTACCTTATCGATATAGCTCTTTTGTGATAATCCAAGAATACCCCGAGAGCGATCTCGATGTATCTGGATCCCTAATATAAAAGAGGCGTCCCCAAGATCTTTCATCTCAAAATTCTTTGATAGAAATCTCTTGGTTTCGTGCAACATGCCTATATCATTAGTGGCAAGCAAGATGTCATCCACATACAGAACCAGAAAAATATACTTACTCCCACTGAACTTGTGATATACACAGTCATCAACAATGTTCATCTCAAAACCGAACGAGATAACTATTTGTTGAAACTTATGATACCATTGACGAGGAGCTTGCTTGAGTCCATAGATGGATTTCCTTAATTTGCAAACCATATTCTTTGGGTCTCCTGACACAAAGTTTTCTGGTTGCACCATATAAATCATCTCATCAATGTCTCCATTGAGAAATGCAGTCTTAACATCCATCTGATGTAACTCAAGATCATAATGAGCAACAAGTGCCATGATTATTCTGAAAGAGTCTTTCGATGAAACCGGAGAGAAAGTCTCTGTATAATCAATGCCTTCCTTTTGAGTATAGCCTTTAGCCACAAGACGCGCCTTATACCTCTCCACATTACCGTTTGCATCCCGCTTGGTTTTAAAAATCCATTTACAACCAATTGGTTTTGCACCTTCTGGCAATGGGACAAGTTCCCAAACCTTATTGTCTTGCATAGACTTATACTCTTCATTCATGGCATCAATCCACTGTTGAGAGTTAGAACTTTTCATGGCCTGAGAGAAGTTGATTGGATCATCTTCTAACATTCCACTACTTTCCTCATGTTCTTGGAGAAATACAATATAATCATCCGGAATAGCATTTCTCCTTTCTCTCGTGGATCTCCTTAATGGCACTGGTTCTTGAGGTTGTTGAGTTTGTTCTTCTGGAACAGGGAGTTGTTCAACATTATCATCTTGAGGTTCCGGATTTACTTCTTGAGCAACAACAGGTATAGGAACCTGAATATTGTCAAAAGTAACTGTATGGATTGGATCTGAAGCCAATTCCTCCTCAAAACTAATGTCTCTAACCTTATTTCTCCCCCCAAACTCAACATCCTCAAAGAATGTTGCTGTTCCCGTCTCAAAAATATTCCTTATAGTGGGATCATAAAACTTATAGCCCCTAGAGCGATCAGGGTACCCAATAAAGTAGCTGCTAACTGTTTTGGAGTCCAATTTCTTTTCATTTGGCCTATAAGGCCTTGCCTCAGCTGGACATCCCCAAATATGTAAATGCTTTAAACTGGGCTTTCGACCAGTCCAAAGCTCATAAGGTGTTTTAGCAACTGCTTTACTTGGTACTCTATTCAGAATGTAAGCTGCTGTCTTAAGTGCTTCTCCCCAGAGTGACTCTGGTAAAGAAGAATGAGCAATCATACTTCTTACCATATCCTTAAGAGTCCTGTTTCGTCTTTCAGCTACACCATTCATGCTAGGTGAACCCGGCATAGTGTACTGTGGGACGATACCGCATTCCTCTAGGTATCTAGCAAATGGTCCTGGACGTTGTTCACCTGAACCATCATATCTACCGTAGTACTCACCACCACGATCAGATCTGACGGTTTTAATTCTTCTGTTGAGTTGATTCTCAACTTCAGCTTTATAGGCTTTGAACATGTCCAGAGACTCAGATTTTTCATGAATAAGATATAGGTGCCCATAACGTGAGTAATCGTCTATGAATGATATAAAATATTGTTGACCATTCCAGGATTCCGTAGGGAATGGCCCACAAATATCCGTATGTATCAATTCTAAGACATCCGAAGATCTGTTGGCACCTAATCTCTTCACTTTGGTCTGTTTTCCCTTGATACATTCAACACATACGTCGAAGTCCGAAAAATCAAGGGAATCCAAAATGCCATCAGACACAAGACGCTCAACTCTACCTTTTGAGATATGACCTAAGCGCTTATGCCATAATGTCGCCGAATTTTCCTTATTTAATTTACGCTTAGTACCACGTGATTCCACATGCAAGGATTCATTGTAAGAAGCAATTGTATCAAGCAAATATAGGTTGTCATAAATACTCAAGTAACCGGTTCCCACAACATTTGAATTAAAAGATAAACTGAATTGACTGTTTCCAAATGAACAAGAATAACCTGATTTGTCCAATACAGAAACAGAAACCAAATTCCGTCTAAAAGACGGTACTACAAAAGTATCTTTTAAATCCAAATAATAACCAGTTCCTAACAACAACCTAAAGTGCCCAATTGCTTCCACATCTACCGATTGTCCGTCGCCCACAAAGATGTGTCTTTCAACATCACTTGGCTTTCGGTAGCTCAGGCAACCCTGCATAGAAACACTTATGTGAGTAGTAGCACCAGAGTCTAACCACCAAGTGTTTCTAGGTACTGAAGCTAAATTAACCTCAGAACAGACCAAAGCAAGGAACGTACCCTTATTATCACGCCA